TTTTTTTTTTTTGTCTGCCACTCAGAGATTTGCCACCAAATGAAGGAATTACATTTAGATCATTTAGACATGAAATAATCTAAATAATTTTTGGAGGGCTTTTAAAGGGGGCTGCATCAGCTCATAAAAACCAGGTGTTATAACAACCATCAATTCATATAGAAAGTACCAACATAGTGTTAAATCTGTGGCATTTTCCACTTTCTTACTGGCAGTATGTAGGCTACAGAAGTATTTGTGGTGGGAAAGAGGATTTGCTCGGATTATTATTGTTTTTTATGGACCAGTGTGTAAGATTTAGTGGCATTTAGCGGTGTATTTGCAGATTGCTACTCACTTGTTTCACCCTAGCCAAGTATGGCTATTATCTCCCTTTTAAAGCGCAAGGGAGATAATACAGTGGGGCTTGAGGTTGACACCTTTAACAGATGTCAACCTCATGTTGGTGCTAGAGGAAAAGTCTTTGGGTAACCAAAGGATGAAAAACTACCGAAACTGCACCTGAAACTTGGTAAGAACCGCAGTGGTAGCAGGTGTTTTGTCCTATGTGCCCTAAAGTTGCAGCAGTGATTGTTTTTGTTTTGATTTAAAGGGTGAAGACTAATTGGTTGATTTGGCAAATGTTTGTCTAGTTCACTTCCCTAACTCTGATAAAAAGCAGCACACACACACCACAGCTTTTTAAGTCTTCCGCTGTGTTTGAGACAGTCCCACTTGAAGAAAACCACCTAAATATATTAATGATACTAGAAATTGTGATCACTATAGTGGAAATATCAATGTACTGTAGCAGCCCATCCCTTGATTTATGACATTTAGGCTTACCCCCAAGTAAGTTTGGTTTATTGAGCTGTTTGATTACATTTTTCCTTGTGGGAGGGAACTTCAGACATCACTGTATGTATAAATCCTGTATTCTTAAAAAAAAAAATTACTCTGTGTGTGTGTGTGTGCCTTCTGATATTCAACTCATTGCTTATCAAAGAAGCAGAGAGGAGGCGGTGTCTGCTGGTTTTCAGCCTGTCATTGCAGGGAGACGATGCTCTGATGTTAAGCAGAGGAGACAAACCATCATTGCCGGTTAAATGTGGAGAAGCATCCACACACCGGGGTGAGTGTGTGACTGGTTGCTAGGCAACAGTATTAGCCAACATCTAGCTTCATTTTACAGTCAGAGGAGGATTCTACCTTCTTTTGTTTGTCACCTATCAGTATCATACACAATCATCATCTGTGAATGTGTGTATACATGTGCACTACTTCTTGCAGGAAAAGTTTGGACAAAGTGTGTGTGAGGTCTCTTGGAAATGCCAGGCTAGAAATTTTTACTAGCATTAAGTTTAGCTTTAGGTCTCCACAGAATGAATTTCTATGTAATCAAACCTTTCTCACTCCTCTACCCTGTTTGTGGCTCTCCACTGTGGCAAAAAAAGGCCTTTCAGACTATGCCAACTTCAAACCTTTTTGGGGAAAAATTGGTTTTTAGGTACAAAATCTTCTTTTTTCGGTGATTATACACTAATGACAACATCCTTGATGTTTACTCTGTTCCTGTGGTGATCCTCTAAATGTTCCTACCTTTAAATGGAAATTTTTTTGTTTGTTTTTTTTTTGTTTTACCTATGCACTGCAGCAGAGCACAGTTACAGTCCTGCAACAGGAACCTTTGCTATCTGACAGCCATTTCACATTTCCCCTCTGGGCAGTCAGCTGTAAAGGCAGTTGCACACTGTGGTCATGGTCATTTAGACATGTAGTGAGGGCTGCATGTTGTGTTATGGTGCTGCTTCACTCGGGCATCACCTGAATGTACCACCACTTCTATGTTTTAAATGAGAATGAACTTTATTTCTTTATGGCTGATTGAGAGATGGTAAAAGCAATGAAAAGTCCAGTGTGTAGCAAAGGCAAAATCAAAACCAATCCATTCCTTGTCCCATTAAGTTCACAGTAGCAGGGAGCATAGCAGGTGAATGTATGGATGAAGCAGAGCCTGTAGTTTTGCAGGATTTTTACTGTCAGAGAAGCAGTGTGAGTGTTGGTACATGCAGTTTCTGGAGTCTGATTATCACATTAGTCACTACTGCTGCTGCTGATCTCTGCTCAGAAACTTTCCACCATTTCTGAAAAAAACTGATGGAAAGAAAAGAAAAAACTTCAGCATTCTCTTCCCGACCCTGCTTTTTATCAAGCCACCGCAGTTGGGTCAAAATAAATGATCAGTCCCTTCAACTGTGCTGCAATTACGTCTTCTCGAATCCCAGGATGACGTGGAACCTACAAGTCCCTGTGTGTGCAGGGCTGTGTAACTGGCTAATGCAACCCTTTGAAGGTTGGCTTCCCAGTATACTGCCATACTTATTCAATGGGTGGTCTATTCAAAGCCTCATGTCAATTTTCTCATTAGTTAAAAATATACCCTCCAAGTACCTGACACAAATTACGTATGTTACTTCAAAGAAATATACTTTTGGTTTCACACAGGACACGAACAACAGTCTCCTGGGTGGAAGTTTATTTCAATCCACTCCACCACCATATGTGGACTTTCTCTGTCTTTATAATATGCACCTCACTTTGACGGTGGGTGTGTCCAGAAATGACTCCATAGGCAAACTTACAGTGTCATATTTTAAAGCCAAAGGGCACTGACCAAGCTGCAGTATTTGACTTGGGAGAGAGAACAGGTTGGTTCACCAGCTAATCACTACCTGTTTATCTGCTGTGCAGTGCTGACCACAAGTGTGCAATAGGTTTTAGAGTTTTTCTGCTGAAAATAGCTTTGCTGAAACTTACTAACTTACTCACTCCATCACATTGTTTTTACATCGTCATTTGATAAATGATACTACAAAAAATATAAATAATAGCTGCTTCCAGGGGTTTTAACACAGCTACAGAGCTCAGTTAATGTCTCTGTGTTAAGTATCTTATGTGATTACCATATTTATAGCTATTGTTGTTTAGGGCTGGGCGATATATCGATATAAAAAATATATCGATATATTTTTTAATGTGATATGGAATTAGACCATATCGCATATATCGATATTGTTCAAATTTGCGCTGTGATCCTTGCTCCAAGCGAGCTGCTGACCCGGAGCTCTCTGCACTGCTCCCCGCACCCCCGTCACCGCCTCTCCTCTTTCATGCACAGAGGGGGGAGGGGCAGGAACAGACACTCAGCCACTCTTCAACAAACATGGAGGAAGCAACAACGTCTGTGGAGCGTGCGGAGGAGGAATTGGTTAGTAGGAGAAAAAGCAGTGGCTTAGTAATTTGGAGATGGTTCGGATTCAAAGTATCAGATGAGCAACAAAATCACGTTATATGTAGCGACTGCCATAAACAAGTTACAGCCAGGGGTGGAAGCACTACAAATCTTTTTCACCACCTAAAACAGTGGCACAAACTGCAATACGAAGAGGGTGTGAAACTGTGCGCTGCAGAAGCCCCAGCTGCAAGCCATCCACAACCCGAAAAAGCTCCAGCCCCAAAACAAAGCTCACTGCAAACTTCATTTTCATGCAGTGTGCCTTATGAAAAGAAAAGTGACAAGTGGTGGGAAAATGTTTATTGAGTTGATAGTCTGTTTCTTGTGCAACTGGTTGAGACTGTTCAGATAAGAAATTGAGTTAACAAGAAGGAAAAGGTAACCTCAAGCTGATGTTTAAAAAATGTTTTCTTAAACTGAGCACTTTCTTTTGTTCTTTCTTTCTTTCTTTATATATAAATGCTGCTCTTACTAGGGTTTGTCATATTTTATTCTTTTTTTAATGTTCGTTATTTGCATCTGTGGATTTGTTAGAAAGGAGAAGAAAATCAGTAATTTGATTTTAATAAGCCATTTATAGTTGTCAGACTAAAAAAATGTTAATATTGTACTTTTCTCATATAAATAAATATTTTTTCAGAAAAAGATTGGCCTATTTTATTTTATAGGCTATTTTTATTTAAGATATTTTTTTATTTAAATGTGCACCTTATGGAGCTTTGATTTCAAAAAAGGTACTCCTGTTGTTATACAGTATTTATGTTTACATTTTATTGTTATTTGAACAGCTGAGCATTTAATCATGAACCAGGTGAAGAAACCTGTTTATTATTTATTAATTTGATTTTCCAACTGTTCACTGAAATAGCCGGTTTCAATAAAACTGCTTGTGACATGTCATATTTGGCGTTGACTTTGACTGAACATTTGCTCTCACTTTGCGTAAAAAATATTGGGATATATATGTGTAGCCTGTGCCCATATAGCTGCCTTATCTTTGATAGATATATAGCGTTTTATCAGAGACGAAGTGGGCAAAAATAGTCAGCAAAGCATTCACTACTGCTTGTAAAGCTTAATCAGTGTAAATGCACATTAATAATACTCCCAGTTTGTACAATACAGTCGAAACACATGGATGGTGCTACCATCAAAGCCTCACATGGTTACGGTTAAAGTTTGGGTTATTGTGAGACCCAGGTTAAGTTCCTGCAATGGGAAAGGGCTATAAATGATTGCCCAAACTACCTATGTTGTTGTTTTTCTAGTGAGTCTCTTACTACATTTTGGTGGCAGATCCCTGCAGATTGTAACTGTCATCTAAAGTGAAAACAAGCAACAATCTCAAAATATAACAACAGACATTAGCCTTATCTATTCAAAACTTTTGATGAACAAAAGAATAAATCTACATATTAAATAGGTGTGATTATAAATCAGTCCCAACAAACCAATAAACTGGATGACATATGCAGCACTTTTTTAGATCAGATTAGTCAGCTGTCAAACCTTGATAAAATGTAACATATCATCGCATCATCCACATATAGCCAGTTGTCCACTGAAGTAAAAGAAAACTGACTATGGGCTTATATATAAATGATCCATCAACGACAGCACTTTAGGGTGGATTTTTCCTTTTTGCTTTTCCATGCTCATTGCTGCTGTCACTTTCCCTCTCAGCTTCCTCCTTTGAATGTATTCTCCTCTCTGTTTTGTTTTTCAGGTAGAGGGATGGCGCTGTCCTTTCTTCTCTTCTTCTCCGCCATGTTGCCCTTACTCAGCGTGTCTGCGTATAATACATCTGCTGGTAATGACTGTGCTGTCTCACACACAAGTGTTTGTCTCTGACACAATGTCTCCAGTTGTCTGTACAAAGCGACTCTGGCTGCGTTGATAGAATGGATGCTTTGTGAGCCTGCTGTCTGCTGATCTGGTATGTGTTTGTGTGTTAGTGAATGTGCGCTGGTGTGCACATGCTGATATGTTCCTGATGTTTATCCATCAGTAATCCTCTAGGTCAATGGTTCGCAACCTTTTTACTTAAGGGACCAGTTTTTTATAATTTAGTAAACTGAGGACCCCTGCTTGAGTGACATATTTTATATTATATTCAAAACTGTACAATAACCCCAAACAGTGAATTCAGAAACTGCAGGAAGCTTGTGTAAAACAAGTGACTTGGATTCATTTTAAGGAGATATGTGTATCTTTTTAAATCATTTTTAACAATCATACTTACTTATTAGGCTTCTTTTTTGACAGATTCAGTGTTTTTTTTTGTCCCTGAAGCTTGGCCATTGTTCTATTATACATATTTGCTTTACATGTACTTTTCTTCACAGATGTGAACCAGACGCTGAAATATAGGTTGTCTGTATATTTTTTAAGTTTTCTAGCACACCTTAAAAGCAAGAAGGCCTCATGACCCCCGTAAAGCCTTGGCTACCCCTTGTGGGGGTCCTGGGCCCCAGGTTGGGAACCACTGCTCTAGGTGTCAATTTGTACAGTGATTAAGATAGCTAATAACCTCTAGGAATGCCTATTGTGTCCATGTTGTTGTTTGAGTTGTAATTTTTTTTGGTCTAATTTTTGAATAATATATATACAGCAAACAAAAAAGGATGGTGACATGTAGGAGGATGCGTTTTATAGTCTTGACAGTATGGGAGCACCATTAAAATTCAAATGCAAATGGGATACTCTCAAAACTGGTCAATCACAGCTTTGTAGGCAGACAAAACATAGCAAAACATGTTGTATTCCATATACGTGTGTTTCCATATGTAACCTCTTAACTAGCTGCTACTGCTGTCAGAAAAATGTAGGGGAGAAAAAGTACAATATTTCCTTTTCAATTTCAGTGAAGTAGAAGTATAAACTATCATAAAATCTGAAAGTAAAAGTATCTCACAGTTGTACTTAGGTATAGTTCTTGGGTAAATGTGTTACTGTCTACCACTGGATGCAAGCTGAGCCAAATACAAATGGACATAGTCTCCATAGACACCCATAGACTCCTGAAGAGCCATTGTGAACTCAGTGTGGTCGGCTCTGGCCGTCACCATCTTGGCAGTCCTGACTCCGCCGGTTCCTGGCTAATCCAAAAATGGGCAAAGAGGTTGAGCATGGGTGGAGCTGAGGGCGGCTGAATGAAGCCTGGTTACTGAAAACAGATGCCTGTGACGACACCCACCTGTCACTCAAAGCGGTCACACCTTAATATAACCTAAACATTGTCATGAATGGGGAAATTAACTACAGAGACCAAAACTGCTTTTTGTACTAGTCTGTAAACATGTTTATTTTGCATTTTAATATAGGGGTGTACAGAGATGTACTCACTTTAGGCCATTTGAGGAAAAACTGTTTTAAAGAATTTCCATGTTGCCTTACTTTCCCAGCTACAGAGGTTGCCACTTGGAATGCAGCAATTTCAGTTTTTTGGTTTAAAAGGGTGCAGTGTCACTTCTGGAAAAATCACCTCATGCTCCAAGCCAACCTCCACCAAAACTTGCAAACAGTTGAAAGCAGTTATAGCGTTTGCATGCTGTTTGCCAGCAAGGCCTGGCAGATCCACACAAATCAGTCAGTAGTACAAAACTCTTCGGGTTGCGTCAAAAGGTTAAAAGTTAAAAGGGGTAAAAGATAAATGACTTGGTTGAGGTTAGGGAACAATTTTGGTCATGGTTGAAAAAGAAACGTTTGTAGGAAAGGGTTGTTTTGGAAAGCACCAACAAACTACCTATTATGTTTAGGTCAGAGGACCCATTATTGGTTTTGATGCATCCTAGGTTCACAGGACTGTGTAGTGGATGGCAGGGAACAACTAAATGCATGTTCTGGGTAGGTGCTGGGTCTGCATGCCTTTGTATATATTCAGTATTCTACATGTCTCTGGCCCTTTTCCCTCTGTCATAATCAGTCAGCCAGTGAACTAAAATTGCTGCCACAGCTCTTGAGACTCATACTGGATAAGCACCATTTTCCACCTCTAACAACCCAGCTTGGCAGGCAGGCAGGCAGGCAGGCAGGCAGGCAGGCAGGTTTAGCCCCACATTTAAAAAACAATTTGCAACCAATGGGAGCTGAAACCCTAATTAATATTTGCTGTAAACTCATAGTGCTTATTATGGTGCTTTTATATCTGAGCTCATGCTTTGACACTAATGCTCAGAGGCAGATGTCAGATCTCTGTAATACAGACATAAACCTGCCGTCAGATTAGTGAGCTGTCATTTCCTCTTTGTGCCGAGTGGTGGGGGTGGTGGGTGGGGGTGTTTTCTATGGGAGTCACATCTAGTGGTCTTTCCTGGCCTCTAGTGAGAAATGCGGTGACTGTGTAGTAATTAGGGTTTTACACTGTGGGTGAACCTGCGTGGAATGGCAGGCTCCAGATGTATTATCCCCAGGGAAGGTAAGGCAGTAAGAGGTGGAGAGACTGGAGATAATCAGATATACAGAAAATACTTCTGATGTTGCTTCAGTGAAATGGAGCTTTGCAGTGAACTGGCAGGAAATAAGAAATGCTAGCACATAGAGGAGGTTCCGTGGAGCTGGTTTCCTCCCAGGACTGATTGATTTCATGTGCTTTAATAGATTACTGGTGGCCATAGTGTGAAGTAAGGTAGTGGGTGGTGTGTATCGAGGTCACTTCCCATCTACATCAAAGCTGGGCTGACATCTTCATCAAAGAGTCCATTCTTCTGGCTTATTTCTCCACCCCCCGTGTGTCGTCTTTTTTTGCCCATTTCTTCCACACTAACCGTTTTTTATTAAAAGGCTGGTCAGGTTTCGAGTGCTGAGGGGCTGACACCTCCTAGGCGGTGTTAGCAGCATAGGTCTAATTCACAAATTTTTGCCTATATCCATTAATTAGTTGTTGTTTCACATGCGCTTTTTCTAGAAGTCATATTATAAGGGATGTACCCACTGAATTGGAAGCTTGAGGTTAGTTGATTGTAGAGTCTCATTCCCAGGGTCCTAAAGCATCTGTATGTAACACGCTGGGGATGCTACTCAACAATCAACTATCTTTGATGATGGAACGCTGAGGCGATCCACAACTCCGCTACTGTATGTTACATTGAATTTACTGTATGTTACATTGAATTTACTGTATGTTACATTAAATTTACTGTATGTTACATTGAATTTCCTTAAGTTCCTGCAGTACAAAATAAAAAGCAAAGGTTATGGATAAACTAAATGAAACCTTCAAAATGCTGAATAAGACTACATCTGAGGCTCTGTTGCAGTCAGAATGTACTAATGAAATCAGATTCAGATATTTCTTGTATAGAAATTACATTTAATCATAATAATGGTACAATGGCACCAGGGAAATTTAAACAGCAAGGAGCACAGACATAGTTTGTGCTTGTGGCCATCACTAATCACTGAGTATCCTCTGATAAAACTGCTTTAAAAAATACAAAGCATGTAAAAATACAGCACCTTTGAGGCAGAAATCATTTCTGCCCTCTTTTCACCTTCCAAATCTCTGCTTTTTTCTGTAGCATAAACCTTTAAGTACATCAGTCTCAGACAGCCTCAACATGCAAATCTGTCTACTCCCTATCAGCCGGACCCCAGATGTTCCCATCCCGCTGAAAACACAATTTCTTCATATGAAACGCTCGTTCAGTTGACAAATAAGCGATGCTGGCAGCATCAAGCACAAACCTCATATGGATGCTGTCTTGCTGGAGGAAAATCACTGGCGTGGATAATGAGTGATCCGTCTGATGGAAACCAGGCCGCTGGTCCTTTAGCATGAGCTGAAAACATAATAGAGGTCTCCATCTAGTGGTGGGGTCCTGCTTCAGCCTTTTCTAAGTAAAAGAATAATAGGGTCTGAAAATACTTCCTGAAGCCTGCAAAACATTGCGTCTCTGTTCCTTTCTGCTCTCTGTTTTTCATTTGTGGCTTTTTGAAGAATGAAAAAAGAGAACTTGAGAGAGAAGTTCAAACCCAATCCACTCCCACACCTCCACACCCCTGGCCAGACCCTGCGTAAAGTCGGCCCGATTGTTGCATTGTCTGTACTATGCTATATGCTACTATGCTGTATGCTAAGTGGACTGTACTCATATGGTGCCTTTCTACTCTTCTGACCACTCAAAGCCTTTACACTACATTTCACATTCACACACATTCATAAATTGAGGGCACAGCATTAGGAGCAATTTGGGGTTCAGTATCTTGCTCAAGGACACTTCGACGTGGAGTGGGAAGTGCTGGGGATTTAAACCAACCTTCTGATTAGTGAATGACCTGCTCTACCTCCTGAGGAGCAGCCCAGAGAGTTTCACAGAGCCTCCACACACAAATAATGGTTCTGAAATGGTTCTTCAGAAGGCTCACCAATCACCAATTGAATCTGAAAGGACTACTTTATATTTCTGAATGGTCTTTCATGATTTATGAAAATATATGTTTGTTTTTTTACTGGGCATTTTTATTTGGACTTGTGTTCTATTTATCCTCATAATATATTAAATGTATAACATTGAAATAAGTTAAATAGTTAAAATAAATTCTCTGTCTGTGGTTATTGGTGACAGAACACTCCTTGAACAGCTACTTTGTAAAACATAACTACAACATAAGAGCTACTGGTGTATTTGTTTACGGTGCAGCAAAACAAACTCTTGTGCTTTTAGAAAAAAAGTCTGGTAATAATTTACCTTTTTCTATCATTCTCTGAGCAACGTGATCTGATTTTGTGCTGACTTTATCCTTCTTGTTTCATTACTCCCTGCAATATTTCAAACGGATCCACTATCAAAAGTGTTGAACATGACCGTACTTCATAATAAAAGTCAACCTGTGTTTTGCGAATTAAATGCTTTAAACGTGAAACTGCAGCAGTAGGAAATGTTTAGTTTGCATTAGCAGTAACTTGATTTGCACTTTTTCTGGAACTATTGCCGCAGACTCCCAGTTGGTAATACTGCAGAGTTCTATGGCACAGAGGAAGAACATATATATACGGTTTAACACACAATGCTTCTTAGTAGGTCAATTAATTGTTGGTATGCACTTTTCATGACGTTTGATGGCCATAAAAAATCACCAGAGTTCTTCTTTCAAATGTGGTTAAAACTCTTATTAAGCTTTTATGTGTAATCTGTGTGACTATCAGGGTCCAGCGTCAGTGTTGAATTGCAGAGCTGTCTTGCAATTGATTAACAGCCAGAAGATTGAGACAGGTAGGAGCTGGAGGGATGGATGGGTCTTCTTCTGTTCCACCTGATCATGTGTCTTTTTTTCAGGTTGTGCAATCATCCGTCCTCCAAGAGATGGAGGGATAAGGTACAGAGGTCTGACACAGGAGCAGGTGAGGAATGGAGATCAGTTCAAAGTCACAAGGCTCATGGCATTCACTTCAAATTTAATACCATATTAACCTTTATATTTAAAATCATAGGTCCACTTAGGTACTCAAATGAAATTTAAACATGTTTGCATGCATGAAGGTTCCTCCTCCTCTTTGTCTTTGTCATGGTTTTCCCTTCTTACCGGCCCCTGGCATGTGATGTATCAGAATTTTGGCATGGAACAGCCAAATTGATCCGTACTAAAGATCACCATTTCAGAAAAAAAAGCCAGAAATTTGCCTCAAGTTTGCACCATGTCTACAACAACAGAGTCATGTCAGACTCTCCACTCTGTAGCTCTGTTTTTTATTTCAGTACACTTTTTTAACATTGTTATGGTCAGTGAAACACAACATTTTCACATTAAAAGCTTACCAGTAAAGAGAGGTATTATGAAATGCTTTTGATGTGAAACATCTGCACAGGGTGTGTCTGCTTTCACTGACGATACCTTAAAAGATACTTTTTTCAAAAAGGTAAAGTGGAGGTGATTTGAAATAACCAGTGAATAATAAAACATTTGTTACAAAGACAATCCAGGAGCAGCTAGTGAAAGGGGTAATTGTGACCGTATTGTTTTACTGATGGAAGTAGTGTGGAAATGAACACTATGCTGAATTAAGCCAACAGGTAAACTTAGAGGAAGTGTTGAGTTTGCATTTACAGCAAATTAAAACCAGAGAAGACTAGAAAACAAGGAGATACTAATATACTAATATCTGATCAAGTATGCTTAAGAAAATAAGAAATAAAGGCCTGGCTCTCTCTAAAGTTGAGGTAAAAAGTTGAAAATGTAATCATCTTAACAATAAGATAAGATATACCTAAAAAAGATATACCTTTATTAATCCCCCGTAGGAGAAATTCAAAATACAGACAGCAGCACTGAGGAATATAGTGCAATAAAATGAGTACAGTGTACATACAATAGTATCACAAATAAGAACATTACAAAATATAAAATATAAAACTATAAATGAAAAATATATACACTATATGTAATGTGCAGTACAATCGTTTGCTAAATATTTGTGTAATGTGCAATTTAAGATAAATAATATAAGTTAGGTTGAATTAAAACCAGTCTTAGTCAGCGGGGGTGGGAGGTACTGGATGCTGTGGTGTTGTGGAGTCGGATGGCGGATCGTACAAACGAGCCTCCAAACCGCTGGAAGCTGGCCTTCCTCAAAACTGGAGAGGATGGGGGGAGGAAGGCAGTGAGAGGGGTTGAGGGGGGAGAGGGCAGATGAGGAGGGTGGTGTTACATAAGATAAGATATTCCTTTATTGATCCCCCTTAGGAGAAATTCAGGTTGACACAGCAGCAATAAGGCAAAGTAGTGCAAAAACAGAGAACAAAGAATATCACAAATAAAAATATTCCAAAATACAAAATATAATAGAAGATATAAAAACTATAAATGAAAGTATAAACACTATGCATTATTCAAGTAGGACATGGAGTGCAAAATATGAGCAGAAAATTAAACTTGACTAAAATTAAAACTAAAACTTAACTGTACAAGTGTAAATTAAAATAATAATAATAATAATAATAATAATAATAATAATAATAATAATAAATAATGCAAAGGGATCAACAACATCAAGAAATCATTGCCTGCTAACACTTAACCATTGAAATTCATTCTTTAGCTGTGTAAACAATATTAGAGCCTGACCGATACTGATTTTAGAAGGGGGAAATTCACTGATTACCAAGATGGTGGCCTATATAGTGAATATTTGGGCTAAAATAAAAATAGAACCTTTCTGTGTGAATATAGCACTGATATGACTCTGCGGAAATGCTGCTTTTGTAAACAAATTATTGACTATAATAGAATATTGAAGTTAAATATACTTTAACATGTTAAATAATTGAACATATACTGCACATTATCAACCAATTGCATTGCTGATGACTGCTTCTTCTTTCTTACTCTGTGGTGCTTGCCACAGTATTGTAAATCACAGCACATTCTGCTGGATTAACTTTGCAGTGACATCAATATATTACAACAAGCATTGTTTTCTGCATTATATACTGGAAAAAAAGTTTTCATATCAGGGCATATCGCATAACATATACACTGATACTGATACAATACCAATATGTCTGCAATAGGCCAATATATACCAGTATGAAAATATTGGTCAGGCTCTAAACAATACAACCAAATCTATGTTGTGGTATATCTACTGGTGTACTGATTCTGATTCTTTGTTTGTGTGTGTGTGTGTGTGTGTGTGTTTGTGTGCGTGTGTGCGTGCGTGCGTGTAGATTCGCAGTGTGCAGGTGCTCCCGGTAGACTATGAGATAGAGTACATCTGCAGAGGCAACAGGGTGATTGTGGGACCTAAGGTCAGAAAATGTTTGCCCAATGGCACTTGGACCGATCTGAGCCAGCGCAGCAGATGCTGTGAGTTTAACCTCAGCTGACTGTCCACTATGTTATCCATCACACACTAATTCATCTACCACCTTAGACACTGCTCCAGACACTCCGTCACTGAGTACTACTCTCAGGAGGCAAAGATATCCTGATTTCATCTTGAGGAGAGATTATCTGAAATCCCCCTGTCCTCATAGGCCAACTTCTTGTGAACGATAAAGTTCAGGCCTTTCAGTATAACTATACGCAGTCGGTAACCCGGAAAACCTGTTTTAACTATTTCACATTAAAGCTACAGGAAACTTTAAATAGTTTCAACTAAGTATATGCTAATATACCCTTCCTAAGTCCAGCCCCTTTTTGCTCTGTGCTCCAATAACAGTTGAGCAAGGGTCGGTTAGCGCCTCAGTCAATTTCCTCCTTTACCTATACTTAGATATGCTATGTGCATAGTGGTCCACTAATCGGAAAGTTGTTGGTTTGATCTACTCCTCCTTGAGTAAGTATCCTTGAGCAACATACTGAATCCCAAACTTCTCCCGATGCTGTGCATTGGTGTGTGAATGTGTGTGAAAGGGTGAATGTGGCACGTAGTGTAAAAGTGCTTTGAGTGGTTGGAAGACTAGAAAGGCGCTATACAAGTACAGGTCCATTTACCATTACCATGTGTATGTATTTATGTATATGTATGTATATATGTGTATATATGTACAGTATATGTGTATATATTCAATTCAATTTTATTTGTATAGTGCCAATTCATAACAGAAGTTATCTCAGGACACTTTTCAAATAGTGCAGGTCTAGACCGAACTCTTTATAACATTAATTACAGAGACCCAACAGTACCACCATGAGCAAGCACTTGGAGACAAGGGCAAGGAAAAACTGCCTGTTAAAAGGCAGAAACCTAGGACAGATCCTTCGGCTCTAGGTGGGTGGTCGTCTGTCTCGACCAGTTGGGGTGACAGAGAGAGAGAGAGAGAGACAGACAGACAGACAGACAGACAGACACCAGCAACAACAGTAGCATATATGTATATAAAGTTATTAAAAATAATGTCTAAAATATGATTTTGACAGGTCATGAATGATTAGAATAATGAAGTCAATGTTATATGCATTTTTCAGTCTCTTAAATCTCTTTTGAAACCAACATGAAACCAATACTGATTTTTCTTAATATCCTTTGCACTTTTTTGCCAGTGTGGACGTAAAATATGGTTGTAAAAGTAAGAGAAAAAAAATTACCTGTTGAAACCTGCAGAAACCCTACTTTAGTTTATCCTCTCATGTCTCTATTTCTCTGTCACCATCAATCTACAAAGTCCCGAATAGTCAAAATATTTTACTTCACTATGTCAATTTTCAACTATTACTATAGGCCAGTATTTACAATGTATGAGAATGTAAAAATTTGCAGTGGCCAGAAATTCCCTGCTACTTTCAATAAGTGTGAGATCCCTCTTCAGGACATGTATGAAATAAAGCCTCCTCTGTCTCATTGTTCCAGTGTTGCTGTGTCCTCGGGTGTGGACATCTTTGGAAAATGGCCGGGTGGTGTCTTGGCCCCTGGGGCCCCCGGTGGAGGGGACTGTGCTGCATTACAGCTGTCTGCCCAGCTTCATCCTCATGGGCCGAAACTCAACACAGTGCAATAAGTTGGGCAAGTGGGACGTGCCCAAGCCTGTGTGTCACTGTGAGTCCCTCTCCTCCTGCTGCATGGCACAAAATGTGGACTCAATTACAGAATTACAGCAGAGTTTTTAGTTGTTCAAGACAAATACTGGAGAACACTGAATGCAGGCTGAATGCATTTGAACATGTCACAGTGTTAAAAGCACAGGTGTAAGGCTTCCTCATAAACCATTTGTCAGAAAGTCAATTTTTATAATATTCTGAAGCAGCATTATTTACATCCAGCAGTCTTCCTCAGTGAATAGTATGGAGTCGAGGGATGTCACATAGTCCCTTCAGCTTCTTTTATCTGGTACCTGTCCCGATCTATGTGGTGAATTCTATGTGTCATTTACCATCACACTAATAATTTAATTTCACTTAATGGCCTCGCCCTTTCATGTGTGAATTACACGGCAGAGTAATAGGGCCAGGTATAAGAAAACCTTTTTTGACAAGGACAATTTTTTTCAATTTTGCATTTCCTGCATATCCTCCTAAGCACACAATGAATGTGAGGAAGTAGTCTGAGATTACATGTGGTTGTTGTTTGGCCATCTACGCAACAGATCAACTAAAACCATCAATACAAGCATTGATGACATGTTGGGACCTTTGTTGCGGTAATGCCTATATCTCCGACTCTGCTCCACACCTTTGGGATCAATCAACTTAATCAATTATCTTATTATGACTTGTGATGAAACATATCCTCTCTGTATTGCACACAGGTGTGACCATTGATACCCTTGCATACGTCCAGCACCGTCGCTACGTATGTGCATAGTGTGCTATGTGAAAAGCACCAAATGCGGAGATGTTACCACCAAAACAGCCTAATGATCATTAGTCATAATACTTATACTGTTATATGCAGGACACAGCACCTAGTATTACCGGATGTAATTTATGTCCTCTCCTCTGCAGGACAGAAAACAGGACTCAGCTCCACACACACTCAGGGTACATCCAAACTCTTTTAGACACACAGAGAGAAGTAGAGATGTGATATTTCCACCTGCTTTGTCCACAGCGTGCTTGCTAATCTAATAATGAATAAAGCTGTCTGTATGTAGTCTCAGTGTTTATATTAGTCTGTCATGAATCTGAGAGGACAGAAATAAGGACTCATACTGACTGATGTCTGTGTGTATGATTTCAGAAATATATTTTGTTTTACTGACATTTTAGTTTTCAGTGAGAAAGTGACTTTGCTGACATTACTGTTGCTGCTCTAGAAACCATATTTATATTTAATACATAAATTCTAGTCCAGTTCAGGATATTGCTATTTTCTGAGTATAATGCCAGTATATATACTGTGTGTATATATGAGGCAACCATATGCACTAATGCTTCTAGTTTGATTTATTCTCAAAAGTTCAACTTCAATCGCCACATATCTACTTTACTCTGGAAATGCAAAATAAAATAAAAAAACTTTCTCCTATCATTTTCTTTTTACTTATGCGTGGCCCTAATACTCGTCATGAGTGTTTTTATTACTCTTTTATCTGTGACAACACATGTCCACACAATTTAAAAAAAACAATTATTCAAATCGTATATTATATAAATATATAGAAAATTAAAGCTGCAAGCAGTGATGAACGGGCCCTCGCTCCACGCAACTCTGGGTGTGCTGTGGGCGCGTCACGTGCCGCCGTAACACGTGCAGACCACAACATAAAACTTTCACAGAAATCAGATCATAATTGCATCGCAGCGCTTATTTCCTGTTGCCAGTTATCACTATATCTGAATATTGTCATGTAGACGTGTTCATGGTGAGACTGTTATTAAACATGTCAAGTTTCATTGAGATTGGACCATGTACACTGAAGTTGTGAGGACGTGTTCAGGGTGGGACTGTTACAGACTATGTGAAGTTTAGTGGAGTACTATCTGTTTTATGGCCAATCGGTGGAATTCGACACGTTGTCATGGGCACGCGGTTTTACGTACAGTCACAAATAGCACAACTTTTGATCAGCAATATTTTTTAACTGTACTGACCAATTTTGAAGTTGATCTGATAAATTCCCTAGTAGCAGTTCGTTCAAATATAGCGCAAAAAAACGCTGAAAGTATGTGAAATGCCGGAAATGGCATCACAGTTTGACATTCAATTCAGCCTGGCCAACTTTGACCCAACGCCACGGACACGCCCTTCAACTAACATGCACAAATAGCACAACTTTTAATCGGCAACATACTTTGACTGTACTGACCAATTTTGAAGCAGATCCGCTAAATTCTCTAGGAGGAGTTCATTCAAATACAACGCAAAAAAACGCTGAAAATCACGGCGAAATTCAATGTGGCCGAATTTCACGGATAGCCACGGACAAACCATTAAATGTACCACAAATAGCACAACTTTTAATCAGCAATGTTTTTTGACTGTACTGAACAATTTTGAAGTAGATCTGAAATTGTGCACGTTGCCTAAGGAAGACATGGGGCACTATGGACCCAAGCTTGGTGGCAATCGGACATACCAATGTGTATAAATGGTCCACTTCGTTTTGGATGAAAAATCTACAGGACGTCTTAATTTTATAGCGTGCTTATTTTTAGAAATTTCAATCTTCAAATGGCGGTCCCCAGATGCTATGTGAAAAGTTTTGTGCGAATCAGACAAAGTGCATAGGAGAAACACGAAAAAGTAGTTTCTGGACATTTTTTGTGCTCTAGCGGCAAAAAATGATAGGCGTAAGTGGGCATGGCCTATATGGGGAGATGCAGCTCCTCTCACCGAACGCGTGGATATAAGGTTTTTGAATGTGCGACAAACGATGCGGGAGTTATTAGCCTAAACGCACTTTTCTTGATAGTAGTGCCACCTAGTGGCGGACCCAAGAGCAGCTAATAGAATACGAAATGTTTCCCCACGACTGACATGTGCGCCGCGTTTCATGAGTTTTTGAGCATGTTGCGGCCTCAAAAAATGCGTTTGTTTAGGAGGAACATTTTTTAAAAATAATTCCTTTAATTACAATAGGGCCTTCGCACGGTCAGTGCTCGGGCCCTAATAATATATAATTTGTCAACAGTTGTGAGCAATCTGTGTGAAAGGGCTGGCTTTGTGTGATCTTAACAGATTAACATCATTAAAGCATTAGAAGCCCCATTGTATGTCTACACTCAGGTTAAGATGGGCCTTTAGTGCACTAACAAAAAGAGCAAAAGGAGCCAGAACAGGTCAGTGTTTGGTCCTAGTGTAATTTTGCAGTGTACAATTTAGGGATGAGCAAGGACACCATTATCTGTATCTGTTCAACCAACTAAATTTCCTGTATTTATATCTCTACTTGGAATGGGCGGGGCTTAAACTGGCTGTGTGTGAAACTTACTAGATGTTAGTTTACGGCAGAAATTGATATGGGTTGATCAGAAGTTGCAACATTAATTACAAAACCATTTCTGGAACTGAGCTTCAGATCAAAGTTTCTGATCATGTAAGAATCTAACTTTTAGAAGAACTATTAACACACACAGAATAAAAATAAAAGGTCTTTATTAGAAATTGGATATTGGCACCTTTTACTCCAATGATACTAGTAAAAAGTACATTATCCGTGCCGGATACTTATTTTAGCTGAGTACTCGCTCAACCCTAGTACAAATCTGGGCAGAAATTAAATGTTTGGGCCTACTTCAGCTGGACTGTCAGATATTGTCACACATTTTAACTTTTCAAAATGTAAAATCTAAATCTCTGTTTTGTCTTGCTTCTTTTCTGTGGCCAAAGATGATCGGCACTACAAAGGTAAGAACATTTTCATTCTCACAAATGTTCAATCAAGTAGTAAACCTAAAGTGAAGTGAATGCTGAAGGAATGAACAAAACTAGGGATGGTTGATACCACTTTTTCTGATGATAATGTCTTTTCCTTCTGTTTTACTAGTAAGCTGTTGATAAATACATTTGTATGGACATCTTGGTTAAGGCATGTTCATGCATTGTCACATATTTTATAGATAATATGTTAAACATTTACAGACAAGGCCAAACAGCTGAAATATTGCAAATACTACTACTACTACTACTTTGCAAATAGTGTTTTACTTCCAGGTTGAGGGGGGATGTGACACCTGATTAATTGGTCGAACAATCAATGATCTGGCTATTGAGGACCGGATGGATTTCTCCGAGATTGATTAAAGATGCCCTGATTCTCCTCAGAACTGTTAATAATAGGGATTTCAAACTGCCTGACTGGGGGTCGATTCTGGCCTTCTATCCCCCTACAACATGATGTCAAATATATTATATAATCCGGCCCGCAAGATTATTATTTTTTTCAATTAAAATTAAAGCTGCAAGCAGCATTGAGCAGGACCTCGCCATCAACCTACGTTGTGGCCTGCACGGCGGTTGCCCTCTGCAGCCACGCCACTTCACTCTACGCACAAGCCCTCATCACCGGAAGCTGAGGGAGACCGCTCTACATTGTCACGCATTTCAGACACCGTTTAAAGGCTTAAGCGTTCAAAACTTCACTTAAATCAGATCAAGTTGCCATGCAGCGCTTACTTCCTGTTGCCACTCGGTGGCGCTATCCCTATTATTGAATATGATCACATAGATGTGACTCTTATCATAAATAAATATATCAACCATATGTTTTGCATTTTCTGACCACATTTGAGCTGGATCTGATCAGCCTGATAGGAGTAGAACATAAAATTACAAAACTTGGTATTTCCTGTTGCCAATAGGTGGCGCTATCATTATATCTGAATATTGTCATGTAGATGTGTTCAGGGCAGGACTTTGGGGTATGGGCTTTCTGGGGGGCGTGGCAAAGCCATTTTGTTTTTTCTTAAGATTCATAAGATGTCATCATCATCATCATCCTAAGGAACTTCTGACAGAATTTCAGCTGGATATGGTCAATCTGCTGGAAGATATACAGAAAAGTATAAAAATGACACTTCCTTTCACCACTAGGTGGTGCTATCACTATTACTGAATATTATCATGTAGACGTGTTTAGGTTGGGACTCATATCAAACGTGAAGTTTCATTGAGATTGGACCATGTACGGTGAAGTTATAAAGGCGTGTTCAGGGTGGGACTGTTACAGAATATGTGAAGCTTAGTGGAGATTGGACAAACAATGCGGAAGTTATTAGCCCTTTTCATGATAGTAGCACCACCTAATGGCCAAACCGAAAGCGACGCATAGAATCAAATTTTTTTTTTCCACGACTGACGTGCGCTGTGTTTCATGACTTTTCAAGCACCGGAAAGCCTCCAAAATGCGATTAATTTGTTACTAAAATAATAATAAGACTCCTTACAATTACAATAGGGCCTTCACACACTCAGTGCTTGGGCCCTAATAATATCAGTAATATAAGCAATGGCAGTCAAGCAGGACCATGGCAGAAGGCTCCACCAGGATCCATGAGAACCTGCGAGACGAGAAAACACAAAAACTCCGGGTTAAGTCCAAGTTAGTAACATGCATTAATGGGACATGAATGAGTGCAGAAAGGGAGGGAGAGGAAGAGAGGAGCTCAGTGCATCATGGGAAATCCCCCGATAGTCTAGGCCTATAGCAGCATAACTAAGGGATGGTTCAGGACTCACCTGAGCGAGCCCTAACTATAAGCTTTATCAAAGAGGAACATCTTAAGCCTACTCTTGAATGTGGAGAGGGTGTCTGCCTCCCAAACCACAACTGGAAGCTGGTTCCACAAGAGAGGAGCTTGGTAGCTGAAGGCTCTGGCTCCTGTTCTACTTTTAGAGACTATAGGAACCACAAATAACCCTGCATTCAGAGAATGCAGTATTCTGGAGGGGTTATAGGGTGCTATGAGGTCTTTAAGATATGAAGGGGCCTGACCATAAAGAGCTTTGTAGGTGAGGAGGAGGATTTTAAATTCTATTCTAAATTTTACAGGGAGCCAGTGCAGAGAAGCTAGTACAGGAGAGATGTGATCTCTTTTCGTAGTTCCTGTCAGTACTCGTGCTGCAGCGTTCTGAATTAATTGGAGCATCTTAATGGACTTATTGGGGCAGCCTGATAATAAGGAGTTGCAGTAATCCAGCCTAGAAGTAACAAATGCATGGATTAGTTTTTCTGCATCCGTCTGTGACAGGATGTGTCTGATTTTTGTAATATTACGTAAATGAAAGAAGGCAGTCCTAGAGTGTTGCTTTATGTGGGAATTAAATGACATGTCCTGATCAGAGATAACTCCAAGATTCCTGACAGTGGTGCTAGAGGCCATGGTGATACCATCTAGAGTAACTATATCTTTAGACAGTGAGTCTCAGAGGTTTTTGGGGCCAAGGGTCTAAGTTTAACATCAGAAAATTGCAGCTCATCCAGGTTTTTTATGTCCTTAAGACATGTTTGTAATTTCGATAATTGATTAATTTCATCGGGCTTGATCGATAGATATAACTGTGTAGCAGCTGCATAATAATGAAAGTTAATGGAGTGTTTCCTAATAATGTTGCCTAGGGGAAACATATACAGTATAAAGTGAATAGAATTAGTCCAAGTACAGAACTTTGTGGAACTCCATGACTAACTGTAGTATTTATGGAGGATTCATCGTTAGCGTGTACAAACTGAGAATGATCTGATAAGTATGACTTAATGCAGCTTAGGGCGGTTCCTTAAACACCAACTTGATGCTCAAGTCTGTAAAACGATATTATGGTCAAAGGTGTCAAATGCGGCACTAAGATCTAATAATACAAGTACAGAGACAATGCCATTGTTGGAAGCAATCAAAAGGTCATTATTAACTTTAACCAGAGCTGTCTCTGTGCTGTGATGAACTCTAAATCCTGACTAAAAATCCTCAAATAAGCTATTGCTATGTAGAAAGTCACACAACTGTTTGGCGACTACTTTCTCAAGAATCTTAGAGAGGAATGGGAGGTTAGAAATTGGTCGATAGTTGGCTAAAACCCCTGGGTCGCGAGCAGGCTTTTTAAGAAGGGGTTTAATTACAGCTACTTTAAAGGACTGTGGTACATATCCTGACAATAAAGAAAGATTGATCATATCCAGTAAAGAAGCGCCAACTAAGGGTAAGACTTCTTTAAGCAGTCTAGTTGGGATGGGGTCTAACAGACAGGTTGATGGCTTTGATGTAGAAATTATTGAAGTTAACTGATGGAGCTCGATAGCAGAAAAACAGTCAAACAATCAGGTAAAAATGTTTACCTGATTTTACATTTGTTGAGAGACAGCGATACCTGTTGAGGGCATTTGGTGAATAATTTTGTCTCTAATAGTAATCATTTTATCATAAAAGAAGCTCATAAAATACTGAGGGTTATGGGGATACATGGCTTAATAGAGCTGTGACTCTGTCAGCCTGGCTACAGTGCTGAAGAGGAACATGGGTTTGTTCTTATTTTCTTCTATTAGTTTTGAATAATAGGCTGCTCTGGCAATACGGAGGACCTTTCTATATGTTTTAAGACTATGTTGCCAAATTGAACAATATTCTAATAGTTTGGATTCAGGCTGTTTGGCTGCGAACAACAAAGATGCTATAAAATGATGGCATAAAAGTGTATAGAAACTGCTAGAAGATGTTTTGTATAATGATGTTGTTAATGAAGACATTTATTTCAGGAAATAAAAAAGTAAAGGACAACTAACTAAAAAGACAATACAGTTTTTCACAATTGCTAAAACACTAAAACCCATTCGCTGAACCTTAGCATCCTGAACCCATTTATCAAATCATTCACTCTTTTGTTTTGTGATGCTCTTATGGAATGGTAAAGACAGACAGGAGTTGACAACTCAAAATTGTTCACACCTTAATGATGAGATTATTCAGTTCAGTTCAGTAACCTGTACTGTACTGCCACAGGCATAAAATACAAAAATACAAAAACATATTTCCTGTACATACAATATACGGAACAACAACAATCTCTAATAAGCTAAAATTACATGTGCATTTTAAGCAGGGTTATTGTACAGGGAACATAGGAGTTTTTACTCGTTTTGTACCTCAACGATGGTACTTTAAATCTGGAGCCTAAGGAAAAGTTTGAGAAAGATAGCCATCAAGGTGGTCTGTGGGACACGTATCACGCTACCAGCAACCTTAACAATGTGGTTCAGGTGGTTTTTCAGGTTACTGTACCAAGCAATCACAGAAAATGTGATTCAGACTGATTTAATATTTTTTCCTCTTTTATAGGCCTAGACGTTAAAATTCTTGGTTTCTATTGTTTGGTATTTTTGGGTAAATAAAAAACCCCCTATTTTTCAACAAACTCCTGTTTTCCTCATTACTTGACTGTTTGGTCCCTGACAATTGGTGGCAGTGGTGGGATCATCCAGTTGAGGAAACTTTTTTTTTTTTTTCTCTCTTTATGCAGTTTTTTGATTTTTTGGTTGCTGCTCCCAACACTAAAGAAAGATGACAAGAGGAAAAGGTGGAACGAGACCAGGTGTGTCTACAAGCCAAACAGTGGCTCAGGAGGAGCAAGCCTGTGAAGAGGAAGAAAGTGGGGCCTCAGGAGGGGGCGATGACATGGAGGGTAGGGAGCCTACTCTGTCTGACATGATGGCCATTTTCCAGAAGCACATGGGGCAGCAGGAGGCTCGAGAAGCAAAGCAGAATAAGGTGACTGCAAGAAAAGAATACCGTTTTAAAGCTCTTCAACACCAGTTTCAGCTTTTGCAGTTAGAAGTTCAGGCTCGGACATCTTTGGTGTGCCACCTCCTCTTTCAGCAGACTCTGATCCTCCAGATATGGAGGTTCAATCATCCACCC